ATTCTTGTTAGTTGAAATTGTTTTGAGTTTTTACTTATTCCTCTCTTTACTTATCCTTATGTTTTCAAATTAATATATTTAATTTGTTTATTTTTCTGTGCATAAACTGTATGATCATTTAAATAACCTGCATATTTATTTGATGATTAAGGCTTTTACTTCCATTGATTCATTCGTGAAATGTTTACTATGGTAGGTTTACTCTTCCATTCTCATGTGTGTGAACAGATTATATCAAAAGGTGTGTGTGCTTCTAAGAGTCCTGTGTGTGTGTGAGAGTGTTTGAAGGCGAGGAATGCCTGTCCACCAACATCTCCGTGTGCTTCAGGTACTGAGCTGTCCTTCTCATCACGGACTCTCTGCGGATTGGATCGGGGTCTCCTGGAGAGAGAGACACAAGAATACAAAGATGATTATTCTCAATTATATTGGCATCACCGCCCTGGGGTTGCAGATGTAGAACGGCAAAGGGGACAAAGAGGAAAAGAGAGGGGAGAAAATGTGAAAACTCTTGATTAAATAAAAATAGATTTTATTGATCTATTTAATCGTAAATGGCAAGAATAAACCAAGAATAAACAAATCAATCAAAGACATTTAAGCTCAAAAAGGTTCTTGACAGCGGTGGGATTTGAACCCACGCCTCCGAAGAGACTGGAGCCTTAATCCAGCGCCTTAGACCGCTCGGCCACGCTATCATGTAAAGGCTCAAATGTCATCGTCCGTTAACAAATAGCGGAGGGGGGTCAGTGACTCCTCTGCCAGAAATAGATCACTGAGTCACTGAGAAGCACACAATAACCATAGATGACCCATCAGGGAGGAGTCACATGTTAGCAGATACCACACATACTTTATTGTAGAGAACACCTCACAAGGCCCAGACTACATTTAGTATAACATAATAAAGTGAATATTTCTCAGTCGTTAATACAAATAAATAAATAACCTCTTAGCCAATTCTACCTACTGACTCCATGATCATTTAATCTCTTTTCATTTTTAGTTAGTAGTACTTCATTCTGTCTGGATTTTTCTTTATCTTCCTACAGTTTTTCACACTTCAGACATACAAGACTTTATTGTTAAATACATTTCAGTAGCAAGTTGTTCTAAATATACTCAGGTCTTTGAGCTATACATCATTTTTTGCTTTTCTGTATTAAAAAAAACATGCTCACTGGCGGCATATTGAAACTCACCTATATCCAGCACCTCAGACCATTTTACGTGGTGTTAATCAATATTTTTTTACTCAAAAAACTAAAGAGAAACCCATTGGCATAGACCTAGGAATTGTGGATATAACATGACCTGCATTTCCCACAATCTCAAACACAGATATTAATTTTGACATGATTTGAGCAATGTTGTTTTGTCAACATCATGAATAACCCTTCTACAGTTTGAAATCCAACATCTCTGAAATCACACAACTGCTGAAAAAGCACACTGGCAGCGGTGGGATTTGAACCCACGCCTCCGAAGAGACTGGAGCCTTAATCCAGCGCCTTAGACCGCTCGGCCACGCTACCCATAAAAACAAACTGTCATGCAGACGAACAAAAGAAAAAGGCTTTGCCGAAGAAATCAATAAGTCATCAGTGATTAACAGATTTCTGGCAGAGCATTTACCTTTGCTAAATGGATGAGGTCACATGTTAGTGTGTATCAGCTGTGTGCAGAGCATGTGTCAGTGCTTGTGTATCAGCTGTGTGCAGAGCATGTGTCAGTGCGTGTGAGCAGCATATCAGATTATGTAGTGCAGAGCAAATGGTAAACAAGATATCATAGTTAAATGCAGAATGTAATTTGTGGATAAGCACAAACTTATTTAAACATAGAACATTTGTCACGCAAGTTCATGTCTGTTCCTATAGCAACAAAGCTGGCTCATGTTTCATGCAGGAATGGACGTGAGCATTCAGGTAAAATGCCATATTAAAAATGGTGCATTGAACACACATGCCAGAATGTGTCTTGACCTAATAAAAGATAATATATGATATGGATTATTTGGACATATGTGCTTTTATTATATATAAGTATGATACTATGCAATTTGGTTCAAATCAATACAAACGCAAAGAGCCTGCAAATGATATGAGAGGCTCATTTAACAAAATCAGTTACATTTATATCAACTCACAAAAAAAAGATGAAAGTGTGATTTGACAATTGCACTTCTTTTTTAGTTTTTAATGACAAAAGAATAAAAATAGAAACTCCTGTTTGTGACACATGCATTCCATGGGATTTTCGATTTTTTATGCATTTATGTTTTCACTTTGTGTCAATGATATGAGCTCATTAAAATAACTGGTCATTCAATTCATCGATATGTTACATTTTTTGCGTTTCGTTAGCATGTGTGTCTTTGATTTAACTTTTCTCTCCCCCACCAACTCATCTTCCTCAATCCCTCCACACTCACCTTTTACTCCAGTGATTAGTATGTCCACGGCCGTCCTGTACCTGCGGATGGCAGAACTGAACTCTCCCTCCTTCTCCAGCTCCATCGCAGCTGTTAGCTCAGTGGCAGCTTGGTTTAGGTAACCCACGTCCCCTCCATCCAGACTGGTTGGTGGCAGGGAGAATAAGTCTGAGTAGTCAGAGCAGGAATTGGATTTATCTAGAAAGGAGAGATAGACACAAAAAATAACAATTAGAACTGTTTCTCAAAACTAGAAAAACTATATATTTTCACATACATTTTGGTGATTGGGCTGTTGGTCAGACAAAATAAGCATTATGAAGTGGCCAACTTGGGCTGTGGGGAATTATCATATAGACTTTACAGCATTGAAAAATGATTATGAAAATTGTCAGAAGATAAATTGATAATGACAAAAACTGCTAGTTGTTGCCCTGCTTAAACATCACTATACCCCAAAAAGCGTGACTTTGAAGTCAACTCTCAAATCCAAAATGAACTGCTCTTTCTACTGTTTGATGTGCAGTGAGAAGAGTTTCTGAAAGTGCATTATCTTATATAATTATTTAGGAAACAGCCAATGTATTTGTTGAAATGTAGCCTCAATGAGCTTGGAAATGACTTTTTTTTAAAGACCATAGTCATAGATAGACCATAGATTTATGTTCTACATTTCAAGTACAAAATGTTGGTCCTCAGAATTAATACGATTGCTGAAAAACTTCCTTGGCAGCGATGGGATTCGAACCCACGCCTCAAATGAAACTGGAGCCTTAAAACACCAGCTGCAGAATATTGGCCAATGAGAAAGTGAGCTCCAACATTGGTTGGCCAATGATGTTCGTTGCTCCAACATTCGTCCAACATTTGACCAATCACGGCGAAGAAATGTTGACGCATAGAAAGCAATGTTTAGACCCTCCAGAAAAACGCGATTCTGCGATCGCAGAATTTACCGCATAATCAGCAAAATGGCGCAGATTTTTAAAAAGCCGCATATTTATCAAAAGGCCGCATAATCCCCGCATTTTTCCACACAAAATTGAGAAGAAAAAAAAGTTAACTCCTCTTGACGTGACGTCATCAGCTCGCGCATCACAGAATGTAAACAACACTGTATAGAGCTCATTTACCAACGAACATTTCTACTAGAGACCGGGCAAAAAGTGGGGGGAAACTATTCTGCACCCCGTGCAACTGTGTTGCAGCATAAGAGAAAATCGACGGTGGCGACCCACTTTGATTCATTCAAACATTCGAAAATGCTTTCTGCTGCTGCGGACAAGAAAGCCATTCAACTCCCGTTCACCGAGGGATCAACCTCCAAAACCCTTTCGAGGGCTACAAGAAACGAAGTGAGTAGCCTACAAGATTGAAGCTGGTCAGATNTTAACGTTAGTGGCAGGTTGTGTGTGAGAGAGAATAAATAAGACAGCCCAATATTTAAAAAAATTGTTATTCTTTTCCCCCGCATATTTAGCATATTTCGCAACTTTCCGCATATTTCCTAACTTCCCGCAATTTCACCGCATAAAATCACATAAAACCCCGCATGTTTAATCGCATAATCAAGGATTTTAGCCCGCATAATCAAGGAATTTAGCCCGCATAATCAAGGAATTTAGCCCGCATAATCAAGGAATTTAGCCCGCATAATCAAGGATTTTTGCCCGCGTTTTTCTGGAGGGTCTAAATGTTATAACTCCTAATCCAGCGCTGCTCGGCCACACTACCTCAAAAAGCATTTACTCTGGATGGGAACCAGATATCGATTAGGCACAAATAAGATTAGAGGGTTGTAATAATAACATTTGTACCTAAGAGCTATTTCAATGATTTTTTATGTACTTCTGTAACCGAATGCTTGCTATTTACCGAAATGATTTCTATTCAGATCAAATGTCATGCAATAGCTTGTTTTTTCTGACCGTCTCTTGTGTTGTACAGCGTAGGGTCAGGATGTGATGAAGGGTCAAGCTCAACATAAATGCAAACATCCACTCTTAGAAATAGAAATAGACTTATTTTGGGAAATTGTAACCAGATCAGTACAAATGAAGAAAATCAGAAAGCATCACAACTTTACATGTGCATGACACATTAAGACTCATTTAGGCAGGAAGGTCTGTAAAACAATAGCCAACATGGTCAATTGTTACTTGACTAAAAAGCCTGTACATATTTTAGAAGGCTGAGAGTATTGCATATCCATTCACATGTATTTCACCTTGTTTATAGCAGGGGTCAAAGACAGCCAAGTCATTATCAGTCAGAGGAGGAGGCCCTTCCTCTTTTGGGGATGAGGCTAGATCTTCTGCCACAGAATCAAACAGGGAGTCAAACTCTTCCTGGGACTCTGGTGATAGGGGGATTTCATCTTGGCATGGGTCGGGAAATGGAACTAGAGATGGAAACATGGAGCAAAAGGTCAAAACAAGATTAATAATGAAAGAAAAGGACACACATTTTTACTAGTTTTTTTTGGCCCGAATGTTACTTTTTGTCTGTTTTTTCATTGTCTCTGAGTTGAACATTGTGGAAAAACAGACACTTCCTTTTAATACAATACATTTATTCAATACAATTTGATATGAAAATAAATAAAGTGAATTCAATTTAAGAACTTAAATGTAAGTACTGCTTTTTATTATACATTTAGTGAGTGTATCTCTCCCTGTCATGTTATAAAGAAACTTCTATATATCTACAAAACACCATATTTGATCAATTTGAGGTTAATTTGTAATTTGTCCCCGCCATACTTATGTCATCCAGCTCCGTGTCGCTGAGCTCCTCTTGTTCTGGTTCTGGTTCTGGCTCTTCTCTCGGAGAGCCCCCCATCTCGCTGTAAGCCTCAGCGGCCACCTCTGGTTCTCCCTCCTCTAAGCTCAGGTTGGTGCCCAGGTCCTGGGGTAAGGTGGGAGCCTCCCTCCCCTCCTCCTCCTCTGCAGGTTCACAGTCTGAGGCCCTCCGCTTGGGGAGGGGGATGAGAGGGGGAGGCAGAGGCCCGGCAGTGGACAGAGGGGGGGCATCCAGAGGCCTCGTAACCTCACCACCCTGAGAAAGAGCAGGGGGGGGAAAGGAAAAGAATGGGATAGATGTGGGGAGAGAGAGAGGGGTTGTAGAGAGGTATGTTTTATTAATGCAAAATGAAAAGAGCTGTAATGAATTGTTAAATCAATCGATTACATCACTAGAAAAATCACTGGCTATTTTGATAGGGGATCTATCTATAAGTAAATCTTTCTAGCAAACATGTGTGAAAATGTTGTTGTCCGCCTCTAAAATATGGAAATGTTCTTTTTCTCTGTTTAAATCACATTAAAGTGAATATACAGTTTTTATTGGCCAAAAAAAGACACTTGGTGACATCAAATTGGACACGAAAAAACTGGGGGAAAACTGGGGTGGACATTCATTTTTAACCAATTTTCTAAGATTCTTTAAACCAAACAATACATTTAATAATCTAGAAAATAATTGGCAGATTTAACAACATACAAAAATCTATGTATCTTGGTTTGACAAGTGTTTTTCAGTGGGAATATCAGTTTCACTTGCTATGTGTGTGAGTGTGTCTTACTCTGAAGAAGTCCTTGAGCTGTGGGCTGTTGTAGAGTGCAGGTATGCTGGTAGTAAATAGGAGCATGGCCTCTGTAGCTTTTCTCCTCTCCTCTATCACAGCTTCATCAAACCTTCCTGAAAAAGAAATAAGGATTCTTTTACGGTGACTGTCCATCAGTATATGTCTCAACTGTGTTGCTACATCTCCAATTGTGAAAGTATGTAGTACGCTGGGGGAAAATGAAACAAGAGCCCTTAGAAAGTGCTGAGAATAGGCTAGATGGAACAAGTGGATCATCAACAGATCAACAAGCTATCGCACAGGAAAGCTGCACACCTTAGAAAATGCTTTTGTGTTGAATTACTTTCTTTGAAAAACATTGTTGTTGTGTTATCCGGCCAAAGTCGCACATTCAGTGATTTTATATAAATGTTTAGCCATTATACCAAAGACTTGTGCGCGGGGAAACGATGGGAACTCTTCCTCTTTTCTGAACAGGTTCCTGTGAGTGTAGGCCAGCTCCCCGTGGAGCTTCTTCAGCTCTGAGAACCTCCTCCACACGACCACCTCCTTCACATCTTCTGGATGGCGCTTTGACACAAACTACAAATTAGAGAGGAAAGAGGACTGATTATTTGTCTAGTCAAGACACAAAAATAACTGCTATAAGAAATTGCAATTGCAAAAACGCCCACATTCATTAACAGAATAGTACATAATAACATAGTTTATTGGCCAAATATATTCGGAAAGCCATAGTTTGTTATTATTGTGATTATTGTCCTTTTTTTGGAGTACAAAAAAGAATAAAAGAAAACCAATTCATGATTATTTATCTCCAGACAATAGTTCTGTGACATTCTCAATGAGTAATTGAGTCATTCAGTTGTTGTGTGGTAATATAAGGGAGGATGCATCTCTGTAGATATGATCCAATTTGATTGTGTATGCATGCCAGAGAAGACCACGCACGGGGCATTCAGTGTTCTCTGTGCACTGCTGCCTGAAATAAAAGGCCCATTGTGTATTTATCTGTCTACTGAGCTAGCTGCTTTGTTTTTATGACTAGCACAGATGTGACTCCATTGTGTAACCACAAAACAAAGTCACTAACTTCTAGTAAACGTCCAAAGAAATATGGTACAACATACAAAACAATATGCTGTAAGATAAATAATAAAACATGAAGGCAAATAACGGGTAAATTAGCTTAACATAGGGTTGTTAAGTATAGTAACAACACATGTCTCTGTAGCTAAGGAGAGATCAAAAGTGAAAACCAACCCTTGCTGACACTTTGTACTCGGTGTGTCCCTTCTCGTGTGCGCGTGGGTCGGTAACGGTGAAAAAACGGTAGTATTCATCTTTAGGTTTTCGTGACATCTCCCTTCCCCGTAGAAAGAGTGTTTCAGCGGCAAAAGACACAGGGCTGTCAAAGCAGTAGTAGCTCTCTGTTGTGATTTTCCCGTCCCTCCTCTTCGCTCACTTCCTGGTCAGTGACGTGTGCAAAACACGTGATTGCGTGTTGTAGAAGCGTCAAGTTGGACGACAAATTGCTTAATTATGTTTTCTCTGTATTGTTAATATGATGTGTATTAGTAACAGAAGTACAATATATATTTTTTAAAGTATATATAATTAAATATATATATTTTATTCACTTGCATGACCTTCATTCATTTTTGATTATGCCTATTAAATGAGCATTGTTAGGGTGAAAATGGGATATTGTCTTTGCTGTTTTTTCCTTTTTTTTAAATTAAAAAGTAATTTAATGCACTAATATGGAAACTTCAGGACGTTAATCATAAGGATTGTATTTGCAAAAAACTTCTCACTTGATGTAAAGACCAATTTAATTCTCCAGAGGGCGCTAAAGGTTAATATAATTTACCTAGTGAAGTCTAATCTAAGTCTAAAGTGGAAAATCAACTTTAAACTAAATAGAAATACTGTAACATGATATTTCTTGAGAATGTATTTGATAATACCTCTTCTGATACAACCAATATACATCTGCATTCATACATTCTGCGTTTCTGTTTCAAATATACTAAAATAAGAAAAGCACAAGCAGGTCTTGGCCTCTCCCTGTGAGAGACAATACAACAAAGAGAGAAAAACAGGCTTTGTTGTATTGCTGAGGAAGTTCCAGCTGTGCATTCATATTGTACATAATCCTTTTAATCTCTTTTCCAGGCTGTTCTTTATTTCCCAGCTTTTCTCTTTGAAGTGAAATGTTTGAGGGCCTTACTCAAACTTAAATGTACTGACTGAAATTATCAAACTATTCAGTAGTTCCTCGTCAAACTGTTTTGTTTTCTGTCGTCAAAATCTTCCTCAAGGTCTTAACAAGCTTCACTGAGTGTAAGATCGTGTCCAGCAGACTGTAACACAAAGGTCACTGAAACTGCTTTCTTCTTCAGGTAATTGCCAGTTAAATTGAAGGGGAAATGTGTAGCACACACAAATGAGGTAAATGTTTGATTTGAGATAACCTGTGCGTCTGGTTTGGCTCAAGTGATGTAAAACTGACTTGCTCAGAGACAGATGTGAGTCAGTGTCAGTGAGGTTGTGTTCAGATTACAGTTGAATGTGTTTTTATCAATGGTGGTAAGTGAGCAGATTTAGAATACAAAATATTACCACAAATTATAATTGACTTTATAGATTGGTGGGCAAAAACCAGAAGCTACCCAGATGTTTACTTATTTTTCTTAATACATCTCACATTTAAGGGTAATCCAAGTACTTGTGTTTCTATTAACTTTAATACTTATACATTTTACCCTCAATTTTACTCGTATGTCAAGTTAATGTATTTTAGTTTTCAAATGTAGTGTACTTATTTTGCTAAATGTATGATACACTTAATGCTATTCTGTTTTGCTCTGGTATACTACTTCCACTACTGATAACCTATTTCTATACTTCCACACAGATAGACGACCTTATGTGCATATGATGGTGATAATACGGTATTCAGTGTTTTATATTTTGACATATCATGTTCAAAATAGCAGAGGATGGTTTCGATCCATCGACCTCTGGGTTATGGGCCCAGCACGCTTCCGCTGCGCCACTCTGCTTCACATGGGGGAGGGGGAGAGAGATAGATTAAGTCCTGTGAATTGGAGCATTTAGCATTCTTCTCACAGAGAGCCACATTCTTACGTAACATGCAACCATTGTTGGAGAGGGAGAGGGGGAAACACGAGTGAAAAGGAGGGAGAAAGCAGTAACAGTAGACCAGGAAAGCTTTATAGGAAGGACAGAGAGGAAATAGTGTGTGAAGGAAAAGAAGATGAATTTAAACTGGGCAATAGATCATTATAATCTGCTGATTTAAAACATATAGGGTAAAAATACACCAATATTCTTTAATATGTCATGAAACTTGGAAACAATGTTATGTGTAAGGTTTGCTTTGCCTGCAGTAGTAGGACAGCATTTTATTTTGTAATTTTTTAGATTGAATGTCTTGTCAACAGGATGTGTTGCTAATAGTGCAACACATGTAGAATCTACACAATGTGATTTGATCTTCAATATATTCTTGATGTATACATGTCGTGATTATACTAATGTGATGAACTGAGTGTGCCTGCTCTGTCCTAGCTCTCCATTCTCACCGGTACAGCCACATTAAACAGTCTCCCCCTTTGTCTGTGAGAGAAACTAGGCCACATATATGGAACAAAACAGAACAGAGTAATTTATTGCAGACAGAAAGACAAACAGAAGGGGAGAGAGACTGAAGTTATTAAAATGTACAACCAAGGCATAGTGTGTGTGGTTGAATGTACACCCACAATCATATCAGTGGAGCAATACAATTACACAATATGACAAAGTCCCAATGTGATTGAATATAAAGACGTTTCCTTTGCAACTTCCTCTGTAGATGATTCACTTAATATCAGTGCTACGTCGTGGTCTATAGATTTCCCCTCAACTGTAGGAGTGCTCGTTGCAGTGAGGCTGAAACAATGACATGAAAGCACAAGACCTCAACCAAACTGGTCTAAACTGGCTTCGGTCTGCTCTTTTTTTTCCCAAGCTCACGCTGTCTTGCAAAATAACCTCTCAGGGATCAGACACGGCTTTACTGAGGCCCTGTGTGTATTCATGTGTGTGTGAATCCCTCCAGCCCTACAGACTGATTTGTTACAGAACAAAGCAGGGAACTGCAACTCTGGAAGTTCAACTTTTAGGAACATTAGAACAAAAAAAATAGTTTATTACTAATAATTCTTAACAACAATGCTAAATGTGTATTTATCTTGTTACTAGATCTTTATGCCTACCTGCAAATACATTTAAATAGTGGTCTATGACTATGTTTTGTGCAAGTTGTGTGATCTCTGTAATAACCTTGAATATGCTTTGAGAATTTGGCCAAATTCAAGTGACAGAATGAACCGTGAATCCCTTTTTTTCCCTGATTTTTCTATGACCATATAACCCTTGCCATCAAATCAACTTAAAGGGAGACAGTTGCATAGGGAAACAACATGACATCAGTGACACTTCTCAAGGTATTACGGATCTTAAGGCAATATTGTGTTCATGGTGTTTTGAAATTGTACGTTTAAATAGCCTATGCGAATGAGGCATCACCTAACGTTGGAATCCACAGAAGCAAATAGACAACATTAGATAAATAAACAGTAAGATGTGTCATTTGGATGTTTTCTTTCCACTAGTCTGAAAATTATTGAAGCAAACCAGCCCAAATATGTTTTGCCTGAAGTGTCTTGCTTTAACTCCACAGTAAGCAGATCTATCTTTCTGAAAGTGCTTGTGATGCACACTAATCCCTGCCTGTTCCCCCCTGCTGACAAATATGCATCAACTTTGCCCTCCTTTCTTTTCTCTCTTTTTTTGTGCATTCTTGCTGATGGATTTGGCGGTACTGTCCCCTCCTTTTCTGCCAAAACCACTCTGGCTTTACAAAAGAACAAGTCTCAGGGTGAATGATTGTGTCCTCAATGAACCTGTCTCCACTGTTATGGTAAAACGTTGCACCCTCTCTTAGAGTTTAAAATGCTGCTTGAGTCTGTTATCCTGCTAGTTTTGGTTGTGAAGACTCAACAGACAACACATTTTCTCTTTCTCTGTGTTATGTTTCCTTTAATACGTGTGACCATGTTCCATTCCAAATATTGTAGCGAGTTTAGTTACACCCCTCAACTCATAAACATGTTTTCACATCACTGCCCCCTCCCCTCTTTAAGTTTTCTCCTCTTTCTTTTCGCTCCTCCTCCTCTCAGAATCAGGTTTATTTGAAAGTAGGTTTACACATACAAGGAATTTCCTTTGGTGTATCTTGTAGTACAAATCAAAACAGTAAACAGAGTTAAGTTTTAAAAGTGAAAAATATGAGGAAATAAATACACAACGGTACAATATGACAATCGGTATAGGAGAATTACTCTTGTTTTCTGCCTATTCCTCTTGTTTATTGTCCTCAAATCTCCTACTATCATGCACAGATGTCTTTCCAAACATTGTTCCATTATTTGTCTTTAAAATCTGAAATGTTGGTCAAAAGAGGAGAAGAGATTAAGAAGATCAAATCTAAAAATAATAAAGACTGTCCCATTGACATTTACTATACGTCTCTCCACTATCTTTTCTGGATCAACAGCACAGGGTGTTTACATCAGCCAGCAGTCAACAGCTCTGTTACAACTCGTCTCAACACATGTGTGCTTTACAGGCCGGGCTAAAAACAGAAGCAGATGGTGTGTGCCTGGGTTTGTTTAGAGGAGAGTGATGGTACCTACTCTACAATGCAAAAATAGCTTCACGTGTTAAGGGATTTAGTTCCTGTCTACATCCAAAAGGACATCATTGACGTTTTGAAAGTTTACTGTTCTCAATAATCGAGGTTAAAGGATGTCAGTGATCAACAAATAAACACACAGCAGCCCATACACCCCCACTCATTTGGATTTTTTTCTACAGGACCAACTGTTCTAGACGAGGATTTGAGAACCTCTTACATGACGTCACGTGTCCCAAGGCCCAATAAATTGCTTTGAATAAGAGTGAAAATGGGGCTTGTGCTGGATGTGTTAAGGTTTTTGTGATCAGAGACAAACCCAGACTAAACAAAGTACATACAGGAGCACAAAACAAACACACACATGCAAAGGTTACACCAGTAAAGTAGTGGAGAGTGTTTCCAAAATTAGTCAAGTAAAGTTTTGTACAGTTGCAAAAATAAAAGAGAAAAGATAGATTGCACACAGTCCTTTTCTGTTTGCAGATATTTTCACACTCCTCTTTGTAATAATTACAATAAATATCAATTCAGTACACACTTTAAAGTACACAAATACAGCCTGAAACATGCCACACTACTTTATGTCATAGAGATTCTGTGTATGCTTTTTCCTAGAAGTGCGGCTGCTGTAACTCTATGAAGGTAAACAACAGCTGGAGAAGGCTTCAGGGCAGAAGCACAGATGGAAACAAAGACAAAGTAAACAACCTGACATAATTGACTGTTGACAAAGTGTTTTTACTGTCGGCCTGCTTTTGTTACTGTAATTCAGATCCTGTTTAAAAAAAGAAGACATTTTATTGTAGAAAATATGGTTAGAATAAATATGGTTCTTTCTGGTCATGGTTTAAGAAATTACATTTACATGAAACACTCAATCAATTGCTTGCAAACCATCCAATGCATCTTTTTTTGTTGTCTATATAATCTACTTTTAAAGACTAAAAATAGACCTACTAATACATGAGTATAAAAACTGATTTATTCAATGATCTGCTTAATACAGGAGTAATGTTTCCTTATCTACCAGAGAACATTAGAAGGTTTGTAACATGTTTTAATTGATTTTAACGCATTTTTAAACTTGTCTTTGTTGTATTGATGATGATTATAGCGAGGGCAGGATCATATCAGGCTGAAGATATCACTCAGTGAGTGTTTGTCACTTCTTATTTGAAGAGAATAACTGCAAATGAAGTGTCCATTATAAACCAAAGGTGGGAATGGGTGGGAAGTGGAGGTTAAATGATATCAGTGAAGAACCGAAGGGCAATCTGCACTAATCAAAAGATGAAAGGCCTCTCCCTTAGCCTGCAGTAACCCAATCAATACCTCTATCAGCTCCTCCTCATGCTAACTGATTATATTATCTCCAGGAAACGTTTGCATAACCAAACTATTAGACCATGCATTTCCACTGAAAATGTTCAGGCTACCCAGAAATGTGCAGCATCATGAATTTCCTTATTAAAATTGCATTTCTTATCTGTTGTAAGTATTACAGGGTACATTTAATATTTTTTAAATTATTATTCCCAAAAGAAATGCACATACAAATCAGTAAATAATACTCAGGAATTACATTTAAAAAAAGAAATATGAATAAGCCAATGCTTAAGCTTATTATAGTCCTTTTACACAGCATATTTGTATTTAGGCAACCTCTCACTGCTAGATTTAGGCCAGGGGTGTCAAACTCAAGGCCCGCGGGCCGGATTTGGCCCGCAGGCCTTGACTGAACTCATTTTATGTGGCCCGCAAGAGCTTGCAAAGAATATAATATACACTACAATTGGCGTAATTGTTGAATATTTGCTTTCAATTATGTGCCCTAGACTTCTGCTTTCAGACGGTTATTTATGGAGTTATTACCATAACTGATAATAATCCAATGCAGAGCCAATAATGTAATATAATACATTATTATATTTATTATATATTTATATATGTATATTTATATAGTCTTAAAGTTACAATCGGCCCTTTGAGTGCAACCATAATGCTGATGTGGCCCGCCATGAAATTGAGTTTGACACCCCTGATTTAGGCCATACAAAAACCAAGTTGCAAACATTTCATATCTAATTGAAATATATTGAATAAGTAATAAGTACGTTTTATGTAGTTTACCACTTTTGTTTAAAGTAGGGCAAAGCTTAAACGTGTGTAAAGACAGACACACACAGTACACATTTAAGGATACTTTTGTCCTTATGCAACACATCCCAAAAGATATAGACATTATACATTAGAATTTAAAGAATGATATCGAATAATTTTATAAAACCTGGTCTTTTGATATTGAAATGATTGCTGGTCTGTAGAATGGGTGAGGCCTAATGTCTCTCTCTCTCTCTGTGTGCGTGTGCGTGTGTGTGTGTGTGTGTGTGTGTGTGTGTGTTTTGTGGGAACAGAGAGATAGTATTGGGCAGTCCCTCGGTAGGCGTAGACACCAGAGCAACTACAAATACAGAGCGAGGATCTGAAACAGGATTAGTACTCAACACAGGATTATCGACTGAGAAACAAAGAAAAAATACAGCACGGAGTCTAAAGCTTTTTACAGGTAAGGTAGAATCCACTTTATGGAGTTTGTTGCCTCAGAACAAGCTCAACACTTAACTTAATTAAACATTTAAAACGCTTTAAGAAATAGAGTAATCACTGGAAGTAGCATCGTGTGGCAGCAGATGACGTAAGGATGGGTTAGATTTTATCATTAATACAAATTACACGACATCATACACAATGGTGTCTCGTCGCTCATTGTGTTAAATGTTTAATCGATTTCACTATGATAAACAAGTTAAGCATACGATTCAGTTAAAGATTTGTAAAACTACTGAACGTTAAAGTACTAAAACAACAGCTTACTTCCGGTTTAATGAATGAAAAACCACTACATTTCAAAATTGCAACAAAAAAGCAATAGTTAGACAATGTTTCTTCTCTAACTTAGTTTGTATTGTCAATGTTATTTTTATTTCTGTTAATACCGCTACTTGAGTTACGTGAAGGCATCATGTCCATAACTGCAGCTGTTTCAACTGTTGAACACACTCACTATAACACATCTTTTTAAAGAGATGTCTGCCAAATGTCACTCTTTGTTAGAGATACACAAGCTATACATACAAAGAGCAGAGTAAGAGTAGTGTAAATTGCTAAAGTTAATTTTCTGAGCCTTTATTCGCTTACCCCCTGATACTTGCTCCGAAAACTGAGCTAGCTATAGCTCAACAGGCTAACATTATTTTTTAATTAGGGTAGGCTAAATGGCTACAACCCGGTTAGCATCTGCTCTAGAGAGTCTAAAGTTAATTATTAAACTATATATAATTAAAAAGCTAAGAGGTTCTACATTAGGGTTAACACGTGTTTTTGTATGAGTAGTTTAAGGGAGTTTTTAATAGAAAATTAGACAAACTGTTATCTGAATCATGAATTAGCGGATGACACTAGCTAGTTCATTTTAAGTGTTGCATTGGTTTCACATCCTAACTGGAAAGTTCTCCACGTAACAGTTGTTAAACTAACAAATCAAGGAACTTGTTCGTTCTCTCAATTTTGATCCCAAAGTACTGTCCAGAGAAACTAAGGCTGCCCTGGAGAAATAACTCATTAACTTGACAATCTGTTCCTCTCTTTATCTCTACCTCCATCTCTAAAGAAATCAGATTCAACCATGACTAAGGACGCAGAGATAGACATGAAGGAAGTGGAGCTCCGGGAGATGGACCCTGAGAAGCAGCCCATGACTGGTGATGGCCCGCCTGCAGGTGGAGAGAAAAATGGCACCGTGAAAGTGAAGGTCCCGGACAACGAGGTTACCTTCACCGGCCTGTCCAAAGAGGAGCTGATGAAGGTTGCTGGAACTCCAGGGTAAGATAAGACTCAACAAACACCTAATTAGAAAAATACAGGTCTTCTATTGCTGTCATATTTGTTTAAACCCACTCCTAATTATTTATGTATAGATGGGTGAGAACCCGTTGGGCGCTTCTGATCCTCTTTTGGGTGGGCTGGGTTGGCATGCTGGCTGGAGCCATAGTGATCATTGTCCAGGCTCCTCGCTGCAAACCCATCCCCGAGATGAACTGGTGGAACGAAGGACCCCTGTACCAGATCTCTGACTCTGATGCTTTCGCTGATGGACTCGCAGGTAGAGTACCAGTTATTGATCAAAATCATTGTTTATTTTGCAGAAAAACAATATGCTGTAATATTCACGTTAGAGTCAGACTTATCTTTAGAGTTTGGACTGGCCTTGATGTTGTACCCCCACACTAATTCACAAAGGATAAGGCTTGTGACAAAGTATTGAGTTTCCTTTGGTCTGCGTGGCCTGTTTCAGCTAGCCTGATACCAAAATGCTGAAACAAGGCTGACAAAGTGAACTCAAGTCTAAAGGACATAAAAACGACTACAAGTCATGTCTTTCCTTTTATCTCATACTCATTGTTTTAAAGGTCAAGGCAACCAGTACTTTCGTCTTTATGTGTTGCCATAGAGTTCTTTGATTGTATTCCTCCTATTTTTATTTTCCTTCTTCAAATTACAACTTAACAAGGATACGGAAAATTATTACCCACACATTTCAATTTTGGATTTATTCTCCCATGTTAAAATGTCTTTCAAGTTGAAGGAAGAACAGTTTTGTACTGTCTCCTAAAAGTGAATCACATGGGGCAGCTCTCGGGTTCCAAAGCAGGCTTGGGCTTAAATTCCAATACCGCACGTGACTGTTGGTGTGTTTCACAAACACAAGGTCCCTTTTATGCTCAGAACTGCACATGGCCAGCAGAGGCGTGGGGGGGGGAGCCCAGGTCACATGCTCCTGCCTTGAGTCCAATAACCGCTAAAGAAATAGCTCTTTTTCTTAGCGTCCCCCAACGCATCAAAAGTTCTCAAGCCTTGCGTCTCTTCTAACGCCCTCCTACCCTTAAAATCAACTCCCGCTTTTGCCCAATGTGAAACCCCACTGAGAAAGCCCTCCCCTTCCCTCTGTTTTTAGGCCGTCGAAGAAACGGTTGGCGATAATCAACAAGCTGAAGGTGAAAGGCCTGGTTCTTGCCCTCTTCACACCATCCAGCGCGACATGCCAGCCACCCTGAATCCTTAAAGAGACGACCCCACCAAGGGGAAATGAGCCCAAGCCTTGCTCGCTGTGCTGGAAAAGGCCAACAAGAAGGGGAAGTCATCATACGACGAATCGAAAAATTGGCTGTAAAACATATTTTATCTGACACTGACCTCTTCCCATCTGAAATAAGAATAGCATCTCATTATTGTTTTGATTCCCTCTCAGGGTATCCGTGGTGCTTGACCTGACCCCAAACTACCTGGGAAATCTCCTGGTTCAGCCCTAATGACTGATGACGGAGGGAGAAAGTGAACGATGTCCATGACCTTTTTCCAGATGTAGTGAATACTAAGTGTTCTTCATGTGAAGGAACGTTCCTCCTGCTGGGCGAAAGTTCATGTGTCTTTTTGTCCAGAGCAGCGGAGTACTGCTGGGTTTGGAGTGATGGCATTAAGGTATCTGACTCAAATCGGCCACCAACTCGTTGATTGCCAATCCAAGGCGTGCGCAAGGTAACCGCACCGAGGAAACCAGGAAGAGGTAACTACAGCTCACTAACTTGGTTCTGCATGATTAAACGTCTTTTTGCAGGAACAATGCAGTTTAATAAAAAAATAGCTCTTGCCTGCAGTATAGCAACATTCTTTACATCGGAAACTCATTCACCTTCAATGGACAGAACTAGAGGAAAATAATTTTCAAAAGGTCGTAAGATGTCAGATAACCATGGCATGTTTCACTGGGGTCGAGATTAAAAGAATTCCAGTGGCTGCAGGGGACTGCCAAAGTGGGAAGGAGAGCAGATCAACAAGAAACGAGTGGAGCTTACTCGCCTGTGAAGCGACAGCCTTGGGAGGGTCAAGAATTACTCTAAAAATCTGAGGTGTCTTTTGCTTACAATATCTAAAAATGATGCCACAATTAGCATTTTTCCTATAACAAGCCAGTGTCCAGCCAGTGTAATCTCACCAAGTTGTCTATCCTCAAGGGTGCTGAGGCGTGGTTAAAAAAGAAAATGTTTCGGATTGGGTTGTCCGAGCTTGTTAACACGAAAAGTGTAAATCTGGATTCCTGTCCAACCTGCTCAGCCACCAAGCAATTGGATATGACATGTTTCAAGGTAGGCACTATGGATATGGTTTGGACAGCCCTTTCTGCCTTGTAATCCGACAAACCAGCAAGAAACACTTATAAAACCATGGGCGTTACCTCCATCTTTGCTGGTGCGCTGAGCAGGTTGGACAGGACCAGATCTACACTTGTTCTGTTAACGAAGCTCGGACAACTCCATCTCCGAAACATTTTAACCACGCCCATCAGCACCTTGAGAGAAGACGAATGTGTGGGGTGAGATTTCACTGCGACACTGGGTTGTTAATAAAGAAAGGGATGCGTAAATTGTTGGCATCATTTAATATTGTAAGCCAAAAGACAAATCAGATTATTTTAGAGAGTAATTCCTTGAACCCTGCCAGCAGCTGTCAGCTTCACCAGAGGAGTAAAGCTCCACATGCCTTTTCCTGGTTGATCTAGGCCTCTCCCTACCCCACTTGCGCTTCCCTGCAGCCACTGGATTCTTTTAATCTCGACCCCAGCGAAACATTGCCATGGTTATACTGACATCTAACGACACTATGAAAATTATTTTCCTACTGTTCTGTCCCAATGAGGCGTGAAATGAAGCTTCCCCAAGTAATACGAATGTTGCTTATACTTGCAGGCAAGAGCACATTTATTAAATAAACATTCATTGTCCTGCAAAAGACGTTTAATCATGCAGAACCAAAGTTAGTGCGAGCTGTGTAGTTACCTCTTCCTGGTTTCCTCGGTGAGGTTACCCTGACTAGCAGCCTGGAACTTGGTACCAATCAACAGGAGTGGGTGGCCGAAGTGAAGTCAGATACTTAATGCCCCATTCAAACGTCCCAAACCCAGCCAGCTTACTTCGCTGCATCCTGGAAACAACCTATGAACCCTTTGAGCCACAGCCAAGGAGGAACAGTTCCTCACATGAAGAACACTTAGCGTATCTCACTAACCTTACTGAAAAGGATTCATGGAACATACGTTCACGTTTTTCTCCATCACGTCGATCAAGACTCGTCACAGGGCGCTGACCAGGCGAGCATTTCCCAGGTAGTTGGCGGTCAGCGGTCAAGCAACCACAGAAATACCTGAGAGGGAGAAGTCAAACACCTAATGGAGCTGCTATTCTTATTTTCAATGGACGAGAATGAGTCAGTGGTCAGATAAAATATGGTTTTACAGCCATTTATCAGATTACAGTCGTATGATGACTTACCCTTCTTTGCAGCCTTTTCCAGCACGCGAGCGGGAAGCGGCTCATATTCCCTTGGTGGGGTCGATCCTCTTTAAGATTCAGGGCGGGGTGGCTGGCATGTCGCGCTGCTGGATGGTGTGAAGGAGGCCAAGAACCAGCCCTTTTCACCTTCAGCTTGATTGATTTCGTCCAACCTTTCTTCGACGGCCCTTTACAACAGAGGGGACAGGGAGCTTTTTTTTTTCTTTTCTAAGTGGTGTGTTTCACATTTGCGAAAAAGAACAGGGGACGTTGATTTGTAAAAGGGAGGAGCGGACAGTAGAAAGAGACGAAATAAGGCTTTGAGAGACATTTTGATGAGTTAGGACAGCTTAAGTAAAAAAAGACGCTATTCGTTAGCGAGTTATTGACTTCAAGGCGAGAGCATGTGAATGGCTCCCCCCCCCAGAACAACGCCTGCTGCTGGCCATGTGCAGTCTGAGGCATAAAAGGACTTGTGTGTGAAACACAACACGTCACGTCGGCGGGTTTATTGAGAAATTTAGCCCAAAGGCCTGCTGGTAAACACCGAGAGCTGCCCCAGTGATTCACCTTTAAGGAGAACAGTACAACCTGTTCTTCCTTCCACCTTGAAGAATCATTTTATAACCAATTGGCGAGAAATAAATCAAATTGGAAATGTGTGGGTAATAATTTTCACTATCCTTGTTAAGTGTAATTTGAAGAAAGAAAAGTAAAAATAGGAGGAATACGAATCTAAAGAACTTCTTTATGGCACACAAATAAAGACGAAAGTACTGGCGTTGCCTTGACCTTAACAACATGAGTATGAGAAAAAGGAAAGACATGACTTGTAGGCGTTTTATTTCCTTTACCTTGAGTCACTCCTTTGTCAGCGCCTTGTTCAAGCGCATTTTGTATCAGGCTAGGCTGGAAACAGGCCACGCAGACCAAAGGAAACTCAATACTTTGTCACATAAGCCTTATCCTTTGTGGATTTTTGTGGGTTTGGTACAACATCAAGGCCAGTCCAAACTCTAAAGATAAAGTCTGACTCTAAACGTGAACTGATTACACAGTATTTTTCTGCAAAATAAACAATGATTTTGATGCAATAACTGCGTACATCTACCGCTGCGAGTCCATCAGCGAAAGCATCAGAGTCAGAGATCTGGTACAGGGTCCTTCGTATCCACCAGTTCACTCGGGGATGGGTTTGCAGGCGAGAGCGCTGGACAATGATCACTATGGCTCCGCCAGCATGCCAACCCGGCCCACCCAAAGAGGAATCAGAACCGCCCAACGTTCTCACCATCTTAGTACATAAATAATTAGGAGTGGGTTTAAACAAATCATGACAGCATAGAAGACTGTATTTCCTAATTAGGTGTTTGTTGAGTCTTATCTTACCCTGGAGTTCCCGCAACCTTCATCAGCCTCCTCTTTGGACAGGCCGGTGAAGGCTAACCTCGTTGTCCGGACCTTCACTTTCACGGTGCCATTTGTATCTCTCCACCTGCAGGCGGGCCATCACCAGTCATGGGCTGCTTCCTCAGGGTCCATCTCCGGAGCTCCACTTCCTTCATTGTCTGATCTCTGTCGTCCTTTAGTCCATGGTTGAATCTTATTTCTTGTAGAGATGGAGGTAGAGATAAGAGAGGAACAGATTTTGTCAAGTTAATGAGTTATTTCTCCAGGCAGCCTTAGTTTCTCTGGGACGTCAAAATTTTAAATTCAGTGTTATTTATGTCGTTGAGTATATGAATGATGAATGTGTTAGAATTGTAGATCTAGACTATGAATGATATTGTAGTGCATTTGTTTTACATTACCATTTTTTTATCAGTATGGTATGAATTATTGAGTGGATGTATTGTGCTTATGTTAGACCTGGTTGGTTTGTGGGAATGTATAAGGCCGTTTATTTTGGTTTTGTGGATTTTTTGGTGTATTTATCATTGTAATTGATTTCGGATGTGGGAGTGATGTGGGTTGTTGCTTGATTTTGTTTTTGTATTGTGGATTGGAGTAGGAGGAATTTGTGTTCGGTTATGTGACGTGTCATGTTTTGTTTTGTTGTATTGGGTGGGGTGGGTGATTGTAGGTAGAATCGTGTTAAGCATGATCGTTGTGTTTACGTGGTTTGTTTGGTTTAGAGAGTGTGAGACTTGGGGATGAAGTGATTTGGTGTAGGTTTGGCGTGTTGTGGGGTATTGGTTATGGTGATTTTATGGTCTATTTGTTGTATGGTTTTATCTTCGCTTTCGGTTTTGGTTGTCGTCTGGGGGGGTTTTTGTTGTTGGGTTTATATTTTTCTTTAAGTTTTTCTTGTGAATGTGAGTCTAGGGAGGGTGTAGTTTTTCTTATGTTTGCTGTATGTCTGTGTATTCCTTTATGTAGGGTTTTTTTTTTTTGTACGTTTGGGAATGTTTATATGTGGTCTATTAATTGGATTTGTTGATTTGCTTTGAAAGGGTGTGCGCAGGTTCTTTGCGCTGTTTCTTTGTATTATTTTATATTTTTGTGTTTCTTTTGCGTGATATGTTTTTTTTTTTTTTTTGTGGAGTTGATTTTGGTTGTTTTTGATTTTTTATTATTATGTTGTATTATGTGTATATGTTTTATTGGTTCTTTTTTTTTTTTGTTGTAGGTGGATTGTTGAGGGTTCTTTGCGTTTTATTTTGATGGATTTTGTATCATGAATGTTGTTTTTTTATTGGTTTTTTTGGTTTTTATGGTTTTTGTAATTGGAGTATCTTGTGTGGGTTGCATTTCTGATGCTATGAATTGAGGAGTATGACGACTAAGTTGTTTCTGTTGATTTGTTCTGTTTTGAAAAAGTGTGTGTACGTGGTTTGTTATATATTTCCAGTTTAGGATGTGAAACCAATGCAACACTTAAAATGAAACTAGCTAGATGTCATCACGCTAATTCATGATTCAGATTTAAACAGTTTGTCTAATTTTCTATAATAATAAATCTCGCGTGCGCGTTGTAATAGTGACTATTCTGCATACAAAATTCACGTGTGACTCCGTTTAATGTTGTAGAAACCTCTTAGGTGGTTTAATTTGGTGTTTGTTTGGATAATAGTGTTTTCTATGTAATTAACTTTTTAGACTCTGCTATGAGCATAAGTATTTTAATCCGGGTAGTTAGCCATAGTTTGTGCTGTGTGACTCGCTCTCATAATGTCTAAGAAAAATTATTTGTATAGCCTGTGTTGAGTCTATTCTGAGTAGCTCTCTTGGTTTCGTGCAAATGTTATCATATTTGAGGGAGGTAAGCGGAATAAAGGCTCAGAGATAGAGTTTAGTAGCTTTACTTTAACAATTTACATAACTGCTTACTACATGCTCGTTGTGTATTGTTTTCGGCTTGATGATATCCGAGTGTTCTCTCTAACAAAGAGTTATCATTTCTCAGACATCTCTTTCAAAAATGTAGTATAATTAGTGAGGTGTTCGAACAGTTGTGTGAAGAACAGATGCGAGGTTATAGGAACATCCGTAGTGCGCTCCCTTCCGTAGGTACCGTCATTAGTAGCGCTAATTTACTGTTTTTTGAGATGTCAAAGTTGTGGAGGTGTAATTTCAGAAGTTAATTATACTTAACCATTGAGAAATAGTCTAGCAATATCTGAAGTTTTGTGAAGAGATGAAGTACTTCGTGTACTAGTTTTAATTTATAGCTATTGCTCTTTGTGGGCAAGTTTGTGGAGGGCGATTAGATGATATGTAGTGTGGTTTGTTATGCAATTTAAATAGAACCGTGTAGATGTGAAGGCTGGTTGTTTTAGTACTTTAACGTTCAAGTCGTGTAAAAGTGGATATTTACAATATAGAGATAAATTCTTTATGACTGAGTGCGGGTATATGCTTAACTTGTTTATCATAGTTGGAAATCGTGCTTTGTTTAGCTCTTAACCATATAGATTGATGTCGATCGATGTAACACATCTTGTTATTGTGGCTGTACAATTTAATGTAGGTATGTAATGATTGTCGAATTGTTGCATTTGTTATAATGATTGAGAATGCGAAACCCTCTATCCTTATGCAGTACATCTTGTGGCGGAACACTCGTTATGCTAGCCTTCAGTGGTATGTATCCTCATATTTCTTTAATAGCGTTCTTTAAAATTGTATTGAGATTAAGTTTATGTGTTGAGACATGAGTGTGGGTAATGTTATGTTGGATTTGGTTGTTTCTTGATTGAGGCGCTCATCTAATGCAGTTGGCTCGCTATGAATGATTCGTACCTTGCTGTTGAAACGGTTTTAGATCTGCTTTTGTTTGTTTTTTTTTGATTGGTCTGGCTGTATTTTCTTCATATGTGTTGTTTTCATAGTCGTTGTAAAGTACTGGTGGTTGGAGACACTCCTCGTTTCAGGGTCTCTCGTCCTGCTTGTTTGGTATGGTGAGTCTTGTAGGAGGCCGGATTGGTCGATTCGGCTCAGCTGCTTTTTGGTGAGTTTGCTCTGGGTGTCGTACTGGTGTCTGCTTATGGGCGAGGTTATCTGTTCCCATGATGGAATGGGGCGGTATCTCTCTTGGTTTACATTGACGAGCGACCACACACATGCATCGCAAATTAGAGCAACGAACAACATCGCTCTATGTCTGCATGTCTTCAGAGAGTTGATGTTTTGCTGATTGAGAGCACATTTAGGTCCTCTCTCGCCCATGTTCTATCTGGACCTGTGTGCTGAAGCGTTCGATGATAGTGCAGATGAGAACTCATCGTGGGTTTTATAAGGAGATTGAGTTCGTACCGTATACATATCTTTTAAATTCGTATAGAGATGACTGTGTTATGATAGGATGCTGTTTGATCTATGTAATCTTTTTTGATATGTGTTATGTCATATAAGGACTCATATATTAGGTGTTAGTCTTCATTTGTTAATATGCTTCGTTTTACTGATGTGTTGATGTTGTCTGTCTATGTTGACCTACGGTGGAACTTTGCTCGCTGTCCTTCTTCTTATACAGCAGTAGTCAAGTGTTGGTGTTTTCAGTAACAAGAAAACGTCCGTATTTATACGAGTGGTATGCGTAATTATTAGTCTTCACTTGTGTTAGTGAGTAGATTAATGTTTTTGGGAACTTGGTTTATTTGTTGTCCTCAAGGCGAGGAGTTTGTATTATACATGATTAATGGCGGTGTCTCATCCATTCAGTCATTCATGGTTGCACTGCACTATAATGTGAGCAGTATTGCATATAATAGCATTTAAATTGCTGATGTAGTGAATTATAAATAAAAATATTTCCAGTTAGGTATAATATATGTTAGTAATGTTAAGTATAACTAAAGTAATGGTAGTTGTGGGATATGTCACGATTATGTCTGTCATTGGATATTTTCCATTATCGTTGAGTATGTTGGTAATAACTATTACTGCTATAGACTCCGTACTGATAAGCAGATTAATGTGGAAGTCTCTCTTATTGGGCACAGGAATTAATGAAAGAGGAATGTCAATATATGTATACGCCTCATAGATTGTTGATGGTTAATCATCTTAATCTCTTGCGAGTCTTCTTGCGTGGCTACATGAGAAATTTAAGTTCGGAGTCAGGCCTGCGGGACCTAATCCGGCTTTCCTTGTCTGGGTCCTTATGAGTGTTGTGCTGCTCTCTGGTTTTCGTGGGTTGTTAATTAAACAGTGATAGAGGTTTGATGGATAGAGTTGTTCACTTAAAAACAAAATGCTGTGTAAAAGGACTATAATAAGCTTAGCATTGGCTTTATTCATATTTCTTTTTTTAATGTAATTCCTAGTATATTTACTGATTTGTATGTGGTTTCTTTTGGGAATAATAATTTAAAAAATATTAA